GGTATATTTGAGTGACCTTGTAAGGTCATGTTGGTCATGAGTCATAATGTGGTAAGGCGAGCTGCTTGATCGGGTGCCGCAACGCCCTTTTGCTGACTCACTCTGCGCAACCCAACCCTTCGCGGACGGACCTTGTTCGAACGAGCTTTCAACGTGCCAATGGCAGCTATACCTCCAGATTATGCCTGAAATCGTTCCAAACGGCGATGTTGTGAGGAGCAGGCTGTTCGCCGCTACCGTAATACGATCGTCGCAGGATCCACAACATGACCATGTCGCTACCAAAGTTGATCTGGATATGATGTGAAAATACTGTGACTCGACCGACCAGCGCTTCTACAAGACATATATAAGAGTCTCGCACCAATAGATCAGCATAACGAACTGAGCGTTACAGTCCATATCGATACCACCAAAGCTGCACTTACCTCGAGAGTAACAACAAACTTCTGGGAATTAATCGCAACCGATCACGGCCAACATACCATTCTCCCCGATTACGAACATCAACTCGAACGGTGCAAGATCTCCTCAATGTCTACCACTACCAACAAGTCCGAGCAAGCCGTCGCTTACGCCGCCTTGATCCTCGCTGACGAAAGCATCGCCATAACACCAGAAAAGCTCCAGATACTGCTCAGGGCTGCTGGTCTCGAGGACGTGGAGCCGATTTGGACCACACTCTTCGCCAACGCACTCAAGGACAAGAACGTCAAGGAAGTCTTGACCGCGGTCACGGCTGCGCCAGCCGGCCGCAACACCGTTGCCGATACCAAGGAAGATGGCAAGGTGTCTGGAGAGGATGGAAACGAAGAGAGAGACGGAGATGAAGGCATCGACATCGACGCAGATTCGGACGACGGCTCTGCCTTTGGCGACCTATTCGGCTAAGGAAACGGCAGCAGGGACAATGCAAATGATACAAGACGGTGTACCTTTTGCTCCATCATGGGCTCGAAGGATTACGAGAGTTTTGAGATACCACGTTAGATGTGATACAAACAAGGGAATCTTTCTCTCGACGAATTGGTCGCTTCTCCGGTGCTAGTGATGGGCTGTGCCACGCGTGACGTACCATGCTTATTGAATACTCATCATGAGTCTGGCGCGACGCGCCCACGGATTAATACCGCATTCCATTCCGGGGTTCGGTTTCGGTCTCGCAGTGCCACGATGACCATGACGCAGAGGGATGAGATACTTGCGAAAACTTGAAAAAAACCATGCGTTACTTGGCTATTGTGTCTGGCCCTGGAAGAAGACTTGCCAAGGTCTCAGTGTTGGGAGTGGAGATGCCTCCGTCTTAAATCCGACAGCGCGGTCAGCCGTCGATCACCAAGACAGCTAATTCGTGTTGCCAAGACTGAGACATTGGGACAGAACATCGGCGGCGATTTGAACAGAGTATGGTCAGGACGGAAGAAGGTGCTCGGCTGAGTAGGCTTCCCTTGCCTGTAGATGCTACCAGCACATCGTAGATAAAGGTATACTTGCTCGGCCTACCTGTCCTGTAGACCTTACATTGCGCCTGAACCCCCGATATTTTCCCGATGAATGGCATGCATTCGATCATCGCTTTCCGCGTACATTCCCGGCAGAACGCCATCCGACCCGAAAGCCACACCCAAGGAATTTCTCACCCCGCAAAAGCTTGGTAACGGTTGACTCGGGATCATACGACTAGATCCAAATTGCTCAAGAGCGTTGGATGAACGCAGGCACTGTGACGAGGGTTGACGAGAAGTATGGTAGCGTCATAAGGGACTCACTAGTTTTCGATACGGTGAACGCGAGGGTGCTGGCCTACGGAAGTATCGCGGAGTTCTTGTATAAATAATGCATACGATCGAAGAGCGTTTTGTGAACCGCCTTGACACACGATGCGGCATGGGGTGATAACGACGATAGGTGACTATCCTATAGCCCAGATCTTAACTGAAGCGTACCGGTTCTTTCCTTGATCGATCGACTTTGAGATCAAACACATCCAGTCGCTGATACCCACCTACGACATCGTGATATTGTTTTCCCTCAATGCAGTCGTCCAGGTTCATGTCGGCATACAATACACCTTCTTGATCTTGTAAAGCGTGCACGTACTCTTTTTCCGCGTCCTGGTAGGTAAAGCTACGCAACGGAGCGCCAGTGGGATCCAGGAAGAAGGTCGCAGCTCGGGGCATAGCGCGTAAAGTGTCGGCCACGACATCCGGCTGGCTTGCTCCGTCGATGATAGTCTTGATAGCGTCTTCAGCGAGATGGCCAGAGCACGCTACACCAAAGCACTTCGCTTCGAAGCAATGTGCTGCGGCGCGTGTCTTGTTCGCCGCTAGATTGTCGTAATTCGTCCCACGCGCAACGCTTGGACTAGATTGCTCATCACTATCGTCGGTGGATTGCGCGGTGTGTGAAGTTCTTGTCGGCCAAATTGCGGGCCAGGTCGAAATATGTACCTAACTCCGTAAGGCTCGAGCGCGATGGACAGAAGGAGAATCACGCACCTGCTCAGCCTGCGCAATCAACGAGTACCTTGCAAGCGCATTAGTGTTCTCGCCACAAATCAATGTGCCGATGCGACCGAATTGCGTGTCAGCCACACGCAGCCCATGGCCGTCACCGCTACTCCACGTAAGCTTCTCAAAGAAGGTAGGGACCAGCTTGCGATGGTGGACGAGGACTTCTCCTTCCGTCCCGATGAAGATATTCGAATTGTATAGGCAGCCGTTACTGTGCCGGGATCGTTCGCTGAAGCCGATGCTCACAAGGACGTTGTTCGATCGTGCCGCTTCACGTACCGCCTCCATTTCATCACCGTCAGCATAGATAGACTCCTGTACCATGCGCTGGAACAGTGTATGATTTTCCGTGGGCGCACGTAGAGCACTCCATATCGGAAAAGCAGAGATGTAGGTCTCGGGAAACACTACAAGGTTGGCCTTATTGGATCCCGCTTGCTTGATGAGTGATATGGCTTTATCGGTTGTTCGGCGTGCATTGAGAAAGATCGGCGATACATGGCATGCTGCCACGCGCAGAACGTTTGTCATGATGGACGGCTGGTCGTGGTCGCGAGCGAAATAAGAGTATAGTGTTCTTGACTGAGCGCCTGACCCCGCGTCTTCGGCGACTCCCCCGCACCTCTTGGAACCTTACACCCTGTCGACATTGCCGTCGTAAAGCTCTCCAGCTTTGCACTAGTGGATACGACAATTCCTCCGGTTAATCAATAACTTAAGCATTGCTGCGCCTTGAAGTATACATCGAGGCCGGCGCTACCGAGGTACCATTGAGCGTCACTGCATGGAAGGGTGTCAGACATGACTATGACGATAGCGTCGTGTAGAACTTCCATTGAACACCCTGGTAGCCTATATCAGTGCCAAGCCGAGTGGAATCAAGATACTTAACCGTTTAGCATGAGCTGTCAAGTTCTTCTCGTGGATACCTGGGTAGTCGTCGCGTCACTAGTCGGCTCTTTGCCACTGCTTTCTTGACGCAATCTCCCCTGTATCGAACTCATCAGAGAAGCGGGCTCCAGCACCTGGATATGTGCATGTCCTCCTATTCAGGCTACGTCAACACAGTCTTCCGCAGAAAGTGATAACGGGAGGCGGAGATCCGCCATATTCGCATTCGTGGATGTTCCTTCCCTTGCGGACGCTGCCGTGTCGACACCGGTCCTTCCGACTAGTCGTATGCATTAGCCCCGGCACTCAACGGTGGCTTAGGAGATTCGTGGTCGGTGTAGACAGAACAAATATCGGACACAACCTTGGAATGGCGTCGTGACCGTTACGCGCTACAGCACTAGCGCGTTCGCATCGCCCACCTGTCAACTGGTTTCAAACTGTTTGGGCCACTGTTTGGGCCACTGTTCCATCCTTCATCGTTCCTTGTCATCACGACCACCCCACTCGTGCATGTAGTCGCACGAAAATTTGACTGTACAGCAATCTAGAGCACTGTGCGACCGCGACGATACGCAAAAGTTTGTATTATAGCGCACTAGAGTCCATGTGTGCCCTCGGAGGTGCGATCCGATGGGGTAGGACCTTCCTCCAAATTTCAATACAGATAAACAGCTAAGATACCAAGACAATGAGTATCGTTTAGGAAGTCCAATATGCGCATGGCTCGTTCTAGTTCGTTGTTGTATGATCCCTCCGCGGCGATAACACATTCGCCTGTTGCAATCATGCCGAGTAACAGCAAAGCCGCCAACGACATCACCACGCGTACCAAAGAACGTAGTGGAGGCGCAGCGGAATGATGTTTTGCTGGCTTTGTCATCGAGCCCATAGAGCGGAATTCGTTTCACACAAGCCGGTGGGATAAGTGATGTTCCAGGTCCGGCAATGTGCCGGGCTACCTAGGAATCCCACGGCTGTGACCGAAAGCCACCTTCCACGTTTCGGTCTTGTCCCGGTACCTCAATTTCAGGAACTGTGCAGCCATTACCAATGTCCCGACCAATCAAGCTACCACAACAACACCGATGGATTCGAAATTCCGCGGTGGGTCACCCGCGTGCCTGGACTGACAATCCTGACATGAACCACATCGGCCCGATGCAGCTGCTGTGCCCAGTGCGTGCAATTCATGCAAAACAACACCCTGGTCGCAACCGCCTCTGGAGCTCTTGGCAACGCAGCAGGAGATAACCGTGCTCCACTCTGGACGTCTTGACAGGCTTGTTTATCAGATGAAGGGCCTTCACGGCCCTACTCCGATGACGCAAATGGTTTCGAAACCCAGTTTGGCAAGTAACGCCATGTGCGCTCTGGTTTTGCACAGATGGTGTACAGGCAAGGATTGGATGGCATGCAGGATTTTATCCCCAGAGTGGTTACATGCAAACTAGGCGCCGTCTTGCCCAGGTGCTGCTCCAATGTATGCCAGGCTTGACTGACGAAGTATAAGAGTCTTGGGAGCGTCCACCCGACTATCATTCACCCACAGTCGATCTTTTCTCCTCTCAGATACTATACCAGTAGTCGCTCAAGATGCGTTACTCACTCCTCGCTTTCGCTACTTGCGCTCTCGCAGCCCGGCCTTTCCTGAACGAACCAGACACTGGTATCGATGACCAGTTGGCTGGGTTCGTCGCCAATGGTACTCTGCCTCCTCTCAGCTCCCTGGTTGGTCTGCCAGACTTCCAGTGGGTTGGTCGTCAACACATGAACACCTCAGCCTACACATACTACCGCAACGGAGCGGCTGGCGAATGGTCGTACCGCAACAACCTGGAAGTCTTCTCCCGGTACCGATTGAGACCACGCGTCCTGCGTGATATTACCAACATCGAGGCTTCCATGCCCACGACCATCCTTGGCCACAACTTCTCAGCGCCGTTCTTCATCTCACCGTGTGCGCGTGGCGGATATGCCAACGCGGATGGCGAGCTTGGTCTCGTCAAGGGTGCTGGCGAGGGCAACATCCTCTACATGACCTCGCTCTACTCGTCAAAGAGCCTAGAGGATATCTACGCTGCTCGTCCCAACGGTTCAGAGCAAGTCCTGTTCCAACAAGTCTACCTTGATGGTGACATGAACGACACACAAGTTCTCTTCAAGAGGATCGAGAGCCTTGGTGCGAAGGCTATTGTCCTGACCGTCGACTCGCCCGGTGACGGTGTCAGGCACCGTGCTGCACGTTACGGTGTCGGTTCCGCAGACGTCAACCTGAGCCTTCTGACCTGGGATCTGTTCCAGCAGCTGTCCAACATGACCTCCCTGCCTATCATCCCCAAGGGTATCCAGACTGTTGAAGACGCCCGCGAAGCCGTCAAGCAGGGCGCAAAGGCCATTTTCCTCTCCAACCACGGCGGCCGCCAAACCGACACTTCGCCATCATCTCTTGAAGTTGCTCTGGAAATCTACAACGAAGACCCCGAGATCTTCCAGCAGATCGAAGTTTACGCTGACGGCGGTATCCGCTACGGAACTGATGTTCTCAAGCTCCTTTCTTTGGGTGTCAAGGCTGTCGGTCTGGGTAGGCCTTTCATGTACGCCAACATCTACGGTGCTGAGGGTGTCGCAAGGGCGACTGAGATGCTCAAGTACGAGCTCATCAACGACGCAGCCAACATTGGTGTAGCAGACCTGAAGAAGATTGGGCCTGAGCTGGTTAACTGGAAGACTCCTGCTGTCAGCTTCAGCGTTTAAACGGTGGTGAACGCCGTCTCTTGCTGCGCAAGAACTCAGATACCCATTTCCTTTCATTCCATTACATGTATATACTTTTCATCCACAATTCATCAAGAATTTTCTGCAACCCTACGTTCGCCATTGCCATCTGCTGTGCAATCTTGCATTTCCGAAACCTGTTGAGATCTAGAACGATCACCTAAGATTAAACGTGTGGGGCGTACTCGTTGAGATTGATGTCTTTATTAGATGAAACGTTGTCGGTAGGGTGAACATAACATACTGTTGCTTTGCGATTTGGACACACTGTTCCTGACGCGTAGAAACACTCCTAGCCAAAAACACGCTAGCCGCTAGCGCGACACGCTCCTTCCCGCGGTGCGATCTTCCGGCTCCTGGCATCTCTGCAACCCACAACGTCATTGATCTATATCATGTCCATCGAGCTAAGAGCGCAGGGCTGCCTCTAACAATTCTCAGTAGTTTACGTTACGACAAGAACGTGTTCAGGGTTTCTGGTCTCGTCATAACTGTGACCCCTCATCCGATACCTTATCGTACGCCTTATCAGCAACGTATAGGGCGCATAACGATGACCATGACGATGCGATGCCTCTTCAGCCCTCTTGTCGGCGATGCCACGCTTGATCGAGCTATCTTAGGTAATTAAATCTTCGGCGCTAGACATTGAAAGGCAGGTGTATGCCGGAAGCAACAACGTCGTACACTAACGATTTTCTTCGTGCATCACGTATACCTTCAACAACGAAGGCCCTACCTCAAGACTGTTCCCTCATCAATCCTAGTTGAGCAAAGTTGCTGCCATATCGTGTGTTGAACGTCGAACATCCATCTTCCATTTGACTTGGGCAAGTCGCAATTAGGCGAACCAAGCCATGGTGCATGCGACCAAGGACCAGGAGCCACAAGCGACGGCTAGAACTCTGACACAAGGCGCCGCTATCAGTGACCAAGTGAACAGCTCTGTCGGATCACATGGCAACGATATAGTCATCAGCTACCGTGGTGGTATCATCGAGAACACGCACGATGTACACGCTGCCGTTGTTGACGCATCTGGCAAACTCATTTACACAATCGGCAACCATCAGAGAATGACACTGGCACGATCCTCTACGAAACCGACCCAGACACTCGCCATTCTGGAAACTGGGGCTGCAGAACGATTCAACTACGACGATGCCGATGTAGCACTCATGTGTGCTTCACACAGTAGCGAACCGCGACACGTTGAACGAGCACGTGCGATGCTGGAGAAAACGGGAGAAAAGGAAGAGATTCTTACGTGCGGCGGACACCCAGCTCAGAACCCCATGGTCAATCGTGCATGGATCAAGGAAGACTATACGCCGACTGCCCTCGACAATAACTGCTCTGGGAAACATGTTGGCATGGTAGCAGGCGCTCTGTCTCTCGGCGCTTCGGCTCACGAATACTATTTTCCCGGACATCCAATGCAGCAACGCGTATACCGAGCCGTAGAAGACCTGAGCGGGCTTGGAGAAAACGAAGTGCTTTGGACTGTGGATGGATGTAACCTTCCAACCCCGGCAATGCCTCTTCCAAACTTTGCGCTTATGTTCGCAAGACTTGCTGATGCCGCTGATTGCTTCGACAACACCAAGACGAAACCAGTGGATCAACGAACGCAACATTTAGCTCGTATACATAAATCGATGGCTGGTTACCATGGACTGGTAGCTGGCGAAGGTCGATTCGATACGGCGCTCATGGCAGCCTATGGTGGACAGATTGTGGGAAAGATTGGAGCGGACGCCTGTTATGGTGTCGCTATTCGCGCACCAAATGACGCTAACACGACTGAGGCAAGTCACGGCGCTATTGGTATCGCTGTCAAGGTTGAAGATGGCAATCTGGATGTCCTGTATGCTGCCGTTATGGAGATTCTAGAGCGACTGAAGATTGGCACGAGTGAAGTGAGAAAGTCACTGGATGGTTGGCGATTTCCGAAGATCGTCAACACTGCTGGGGCTGTCACAGGTGGTTACAAGCATTGCTTCAAGGTGCGAAACACGGCGTAGCAGCAGCTGACTCAGGAGTGTGTCGGCAAGGGAACATTTTTGCAGTTTGCCCGGAAGGTGCTCGTTTTCACATGCCTTGAGTCCAATAGAGTAAACCGACAGGCTTTCGCAGTTATTTATCGCACGAACAAGCTCTTCATACCCACGGACGCAATTGGAGGCTACTTTTAGGTAGGTGAAGTCTATTTCTATCGAGCTTTGTCTGGTTAATCTATACTCTATACGTACATAAGAATTCCTCTATACCTTTGACCTGACTCCAGAAACCTGTAATCATTACAAACCCAGATGAATGTGGGTAAGTCCCTTCAATTCCTTGCCGTAGAGCTGATCGGCACGCCCCTAAACCATCCCAGGAGCTGTTTTGTGAAAGGTACCATGGGGTCAAGGATTTCGTCCAGACCCATGTCCGGCAAACCACTCCAGCTAGTCATTTTCGAAAGTATGGAGGCCACGTCTCTGGAGAAACTGGCGATGGTGAAATCAAGTTCCTTGACAGCAGGTCTTTTGAACCATGACACAATTTCCTGGTGCTTTCTCTGCCGAAGCAATCGTGCCTTCCTCTTAATGGGCAGTGGTAAACTTGAGAATTTGGCTTCTATCGCATTCTCATCTCCCTCAAGATCGGTAATCTCGCGGAACTCGACAAGTGCTTTGACGCATCCCAGCCATCTATCTAAAGCGATCCTATGCTTTTCATAGGAGTCTCCAAGCTTTCTACGGAGGCCCTGAGCATCGTTGATGGCTATGGTGTCGATAAGTCCGGTCATCCGCCTGATAGCAGTAAGGCTGTGGCACCCCGGGTTGCGCGGCGATAAAAGATCATGAAGACATATGCTCAGCTCATTTCGGTCAGCCTTAAGCTGGGTCACCAATAGGTTCATATTTGCGTCAGCACTGCTTTGGACCGACCGCTCACTACGAGTTCCCGTTCTTGTGCGGCGCGGAGTCGTGCGGCATGGAGTTGTCAATCGCATGGTCTCCCTAGCCGATCCTTTTCTTCCACTCCGTGCAGAACGTGGCACTATTTCTCTCTTGTCTAGCAGTTGACTTCGTGTTCTGCTGGTCGTCTTGGATGGCTCAGTATGCTGGGGTTTTCGTGCGGGTATCACAACCGCGACAGCAGTCCGCTTCTTGTGCCGATTTTCTGGAGTATACTCTGTATTATGAGTCTTTTTCGGTTTCTTTGACTGTGGTTTACGAGCAATATCAAGTTGTACAGCAGGCTTGGATCTTCTCCGACGTTTGGCTGGGTCGTCAAAGACCAACGCAATGAGCTCATCGGAACTTGTGGAACCATACGATGAAGCCAAGACGGTACTGCGAGTACGCTTGGTCGGTTTCACACGGATTGCCTCCATGGGGCTAGAAAAATCTGTTGATGACTTCACAACTTCTTTCTGGGAAGTCTTTCCTTCACGAAGATTATCTTCGGCCTTCCGACAGGCGCGCTGGACGGTCCATGCAGACACTAGCAGCCTTATTCTGCAACCAACGATGTTAACATTTATAAGCGATAATGACTTAGATTAACATACTTGCGTTCATCACTTGGATGTTCGTAGATCAGGTGCCTCAGATATTTATCCTCTGCAACCTGAGCATGCCCCTTGATTTTGGAAGGTGCGGTTGTTGTATCGAGAGAAAGAACGAAGGGTACCTCTCTTCCATTGTTCCAGATCTCCGGACCGTAGCTGACGAGACAGTCTCTTGCGATTTCGTCCAGGCAGATGTCCCGTCGTCTCAGTGCCTCGCGTATGGCTCTCCTTGAATTATATGTCGCTACAATCGTGTTGACCTTCTGGTTTGTCGCGTCCCACAACTTACGAAGCGCGGGTACTGACTCAAAGTTCGGCCTGCCTGGCTTGTTCGGGTTCTTGAAATCTTTCTCCAGTCCCAGGCGGGACAAGTATAATCCAGTCTTGGTCGTTCCATTGGTGCACTCCTTGATCAGAGAGTCACCTGTCGACATGGTACAGTTGTAGCAATATCTTGTTGCTTCTAGTTTCATACGTTAGTCAGATAATGCTTTCTCCGCTTGTGTACAGACTGCCAGTTACCACCAAGATAGAGGAAGATTTACCTTTCGTTTCTACCGCTCCTAGTGAGGCTAAGTTGTATTGAGAACAACAAAGATTAGGAAGACAGCACAGGTACTGTATGGTAAGACATTGATTGGAGTAAGTTCTAGCGTCGTGCTACAAGGCTGATGTGCAAATAGGAAGTTATCTTCAATAATTTATAAGGACATAACAAAAGCCCCAGGCTGCTACGCCTTGCATGCCAAGAAGGACCCTTACATATTTACACCGAAAGGCCCGGAGGCACCCCGACGAGGTGGTCGAGGCATACACAAACCTTAGGAGCTTCTTACCCTCTAGTCGTATGATCCGCCTCCCCGGTCACCTCCAATCATTAGCGTATGCGGTGCTGGAATAGCAACTCTCGGGGTAAGAATTGATTACACATCCTAGTATCGGCTAGTTTGCCTCGAATATTGAGCCGTTTAGGTGGGGGAAGTGGGTACTTAGCTTAGAGATCTAATCTTGGGGAACGTTGCCCGGCAAAGGGATTACTCGAAGTGTACTACTGTCAAGAGGTCCTCCACACTCACTTACCGTTCGGCGATACTGATTGGAACGACGTTGAGCTGCAAGAAAGTGGCCGTGCACTACGCATCAGACCCAATTCTAGTCTAAGAACCTCTTCCCCCTGCCACGTGGAGTCCCTGTCGTTCCTTGCACTATTTCCTGTCTTCGCTTGACAGACGAGGAATTCTGTGGAAGTTCCACTGCTCTTCATGCATGTTGGCTACGCCGCGCGGGTATACCCAGGCCGCTGCGGCATCCCCATGCCTTCGGTATGATCTCACAAACTGTCGGAACTCGTTGTATCCTGCGTAGACACGCCAGGTCGAGGAGCCGCGGGTGATCCTCGTACTAGAGCAAGCAATAGGTCACTTCGTACAAACCATTTCCAAACTAGATTAGGAAGATACGGAAGAATAGGCAGCAATCTGGGCAAGGCGGATCCCCTGGAAAAAAGTAAAAAGCAAAAACACGGGCATTTGACACATGCAAGTCGTACCATCCTAGCGCGGCATCATGGCATGTTGAAATGAGACTGCGGATGTGACGAAGGCGGAACCACAGCTCAATCACACGCTAGCTAACGAGACTGCGTGATGTGACGGCCGTTACGACCACCGGTGAGACTGGAATTGCTCCCTGAGAGTGTATGTGGCTGAGGCGATCACCACCAAGCTAACCGTACCAGCTCTAGAGGCAACCACGCCGCAATCCTTCATCCTGACCCAGCCGGTCGATCGGCCAGTAACGTCTGACAGCCCCTTTCCTTCGGCACGTTTTGTAATTCGGGTCGGCTTGTCGAATAACACCCTGTTGGCGGCACACATTGCCGGGGCCGGTCAGAGATAGTGAAATCAGGGGTGGAGACTGCTCAATTTGGTGGCGTCGCAAGCAATCTGAGAATTCAAGACAGGAAGTTTTCGATTCGATCTCCGATGAAAATGAGGAGGTGAGCAAGCTTCATACCTCAAGAATGCAGTAGATTCCAGTTGTGGGAGGCAATAACTGAGAAGTACGTCTACCTGCGCAGCCATGGATGTTCGTCCATCGAAGAAGATAGATAAGCTGCTGTGACTAATTACTATTTATGAATATTTAGAAGGGTACTCTCAAACCTAACACGTCATCGATTATACTATGATAAAGGTGTCTGATTGCCATTTGATGCGTCTCTCTCGTCAAACGAAGATGACCAATATCGCGAACACAAACATCGCGACCCCGAATATCGCGAACCCAACTGTTGTGAGTTCAGCGCATAGATGGGCAAGCGAACGTGGTCGTTCGGAAGTTTCGTCTTTGCCGCCAGCTTGCGCCAGGCTAGTTGCGTTGGTTGTTTTCGGGGCAGGCTTCAGCTCCATCTTCTTATATGCGCGGAAGATAATCCAGCAATAGACCAACATTTTGATTCTGTGAACGATATGTTAGCCGATGAAGCTTCTGGCTCGTCAATTACTAACAGTTTGCGATTGTTGTTTTCCCCGTATCTGAGGTGATTGGGACGATTGCCGTCCTCCGTGTCGATGGAAGTCACGAACGGAGTCCCGTCGCGACCGTTAGTCCAGACATGAGGGCCCCGTTCCTTTAGACACGCTTCTATGTCCTCATGTTTGAAGCCTTGGGTCGAGTTTGCTATATTTCGCTCGTTGTCAGTGAGTAATCTGATGTCTTTACAAATTCTTCGCTTACCGTTTCTTTCAAATCTATATGTGATTTGTACTTGACCGCGATCTGGTCCACAACAGCCTGAGTAGCGCTGTGGAAGTCTCCAATTATGCCTATGAACTTCGGGCGACCGCGATTGGTATCTGGTCTGGTTGAGCTTTTTCTAAAACCCAAAAGATTGGTGTAGAAAAACGCTCGAGCTTCGGGTTGGGTGGGATCGAGCAGTTGACGCACGAATTCCGACTTCTGACCGGTGTGCATCTTGGTTGAAGTTGGATTTGGAGGAGATCTTTCATTTACCCCATCAAGCTCGAGAAGTCGAAATACAATCGACAATAGAGAATGTGCCTATACTGGTATGAGCCAAACTGTTAGAAGCAGGGAGAAGCCCCTAGTGGCTCTAGGAGATAACGACATGTAGAACGGTCAGGAAATCTACACCGAGGTAGCTTACTCACTTTAATTGTGGGCGTACGAAAACGTATTGGTAAGATGTTGTGACTGTGGATTATAGAGACTTGGGGCAGAAGTTTGAACTTATAAGATATAGCCACTATCTGACAGCAAGTTTACACAACTCAGGCCTATCTAGTGTCCTAAAAAGGTGAATAGGGTCTCACTGAATTGCTGTAGTGGCGCTAGTCTTCTGTTCAGGCCCAGTGTCTTCCCGATGCCGCGCTGAGTCCACTTTCTGCAGTGTTTCAACGAACTGAACGTTTTGTCTTTAGCGAGCTCTATTTGTAAGACATTTTGGACATATCTAGATCATGAGCTGCACAAGGAAGAGGATTCTTACAGGGGCCAGAAGGCCAAAGTTGGGTGCAACTTAGAAACAACGACCTTCTTCGTATGTGGCAGTGTCGTACACGCAGAGGTCCTTATCGGCGCGTCTCAGATCAACAAAGGAAGCCTCCAGATGACACCATAGCAACAAGTCCAATGTCTCGGTAAGACATCACCAGCATGGCCCAGCTCATACTAGTCCTCGCCTGTTCAGAACCACTGGCGCTAGATCTTGCTGCCAAAGTAACTTCCCATATAGTGGCGCAGCGCTAGTCTCGGATACGTGCATTATTCCTCTTCTCTCTTATTACCACCTGCATCTACTATAGATACTCTGCAGCACAAGAGTCTAGCAAGAAGTTACTCCATAAATATGCACGCTGGTCGGTTTAGCGATGCGACGATAGGAAGAGGATGCGTGGAAAGCTATGGAGGCTGGCGATGATAAGCACAAACGCGTGACGTCATGAACAGCCCTCCCGATCTAGGGGAAGCTGTGACCAGAGTTTGAAGGTCTTCTCAATGTATTCAAAATCAGACTTGTAAATAAGAGTACTGTGAGTACCCTTTGAACTGAATCTTCCCAATTAAACAAAATGCCTTGAACGTCTGACTTCTTGTCAACGTCCATACACGAAAAAACAAAAGAAATAAAGACTTTTGGACACTCTCTCAATCGCTCACCTGGCTCTGAAACATTCCATCTCTATACCATGAACTCAACCTTATCGTCCTCCTCTTGTTTGACTTTAACTCTTTTCTGCTTCGTGGTCACCTCCGTATCCTTCTCCTCGGCATTGTCCTTGGAGTTGAAGCCTATGCGTGCTCCAGCCATATCGCCAGACGTGTGCCTCGGTCGCTTCCGAACACTTGCCGCTGGAAGATTGAGGTACGGGGAGCCTAGAATAGCCTTGTCCAGAATGCCCATTGGCTTCACGTCGCCGTTGACAGGGCCAGGCTCGTAGTGTTTTGGAGGCGTGCGGCGCTCGAACTTGATGCGGCCGTTGCCGATGAAATTCTCCTGTTCCAGGACCGGTCGTGTGGGATAGGTGTGAACGTTACTACCTATCGGGTAGCCTCTAGGGTCGACGACTTGTTCGTTCGTGGAAGGTGGGGTCGTGACCGGAATCGTGCCACTCAGCGAAATCTTAGCGCTATCCTCAACCTCCTTTGCGTTCGCTCGTTCGGCTTCTTTCTTCACCCGCCGTTGAGAAGTCTGTACCCCGCACGACGAGGCTGCACCACAAAACTCGTACCCTTCTGTCTTTCCACCACGTAGTGGCCCTTTGGCGTATGTGGTACAGGCAGTATCTAGATAAGCCGGCCGGCCCCTATTAGGCCTGCTCGCCTTGATATTGCCGAGATTGTCAAAGTCGTATGGCCAAAACGTCTTCAATTCTTTCTCGTCGTAGAACTTCGAACTGTAGATAGCGTAACATGCTCGGTCGTCTAGGTACACGTATTTTGGCGGTTCTCTTCTGCCTCGGAAGATTGGTCTCGGGACGTCTCCAGCGAACAACTTCCAGGTTGGATGGCCTCTGACAGTCGTCTTGGAACGATCAATGAAGCTTTTGGTTGAATCACCATCACCATGGCCATTCGCCCAGAGCACTCGCATTCTCTTCCCATCTGAGATCATTGTGGGTGAGCTACCGGGTACAGTAGCTACCAGATCTCCAGCTTTGATAGCCATGTTGGTGCTCGGAGGTTGACTTGAAGAAAGGGATAATGCCGGTGCGTGGGCTTTTGCACATCTGCACTCCTCGACTTACCGATTCTTACCCCAGAGATGACATGCACAGTCAGGGGAAAGTGAAGTAGAAGGAATGAACATTCGTGAGTAGACTTGAGTAGATTTGATAGACTGAATGGAGAACTGATGAAAAGGAGCCAGCGGATGGAAGGAGATAGTGGAGTGGAACAAAGGAAGAGTAGT